GTAACCATAAGCACCTCCGTAAGAAAAAGTACTCGTGAAATAGTCGCCAGTCCCTAAAAGAAGGGACATAACATACAACAACGGTTTGTAAAATTTACATTTCTAAACTTAACGCGAAAATTCACTTTCTTTCTACAGTGTATCATTTCTTCCCGCGTATTGTACAACTCGTTTGATAACATTTAATACAATTTCTCCTCAATGTGTCAAAACAAGAGGCTACATTAAATTTTCTTCAGTTTGATTGGTCGGTTTTTATTTCCACCATTGCGCTACTGTTAACGCGAGGTATGTGTGTTTCCGTATACGTGACGAACTTGAGTGCCTTCCTGCCTAGCACCATATTTACAGGGGAGACATACTTCTCTGCCGCCATACCCCGTACATGAATTTCTTCCATCCAGTCCCGGCTACATAACAACGGAGTCGTCGAGGGGGAGGAAACCATGGACTGCGGCGTAACGTCGAGAGGGTGAAAATCTCATAAACTGCACTGAATGAGGTAACATTAAGTTAAACTAAATATCTAACATAACAAGCTCATGGTTTAAAGGGACCAGTTGTTAATGCCAATAAAAAAAACACAACTATAACAACATTTACAACATATTTCCACATTTGTCCAGAATTTTTGTTATATTGACGACAAAAAGAAAATCTATCCCAGTGTTATTTAACTCTAACATAGTGTGTTTGGTGGGTAGATATCCGTTCGCGTTTCTTCGGGAAAGCATGAAAGGCGTGCGTTTATGTATCTTTTGAATAACATTCGTTATATATTATGTTATCCCAGTGTTATTAAACGGTAACGTAGTGTGTTCGGTGGGTAGATATCCATTCGCGTTTCCTCGGGAAAGCATGCGAGGCGTGCGTTTATGTATCTTTTGAATAACATTATTATTATATACTGAAATAACATAATAACATATATTATGTTATTCCACTGTTATTTAACTGTAACATAGGGTGTTCGGTAGGTAAATATCCATTCGCGCTTCCTCGAGAAAGCATTGCGAGGCGTGCGATTAATTTATCTTTTGAATAACATTCGTTATATATTATGTTATTCCAGTATTATTTAACTGTAACTCGGTGTGTTTGGTGGGTAGATATCCATTCGCGTTTCCTCGGGAAAGCATGCGAGGCGTGCGATGGCGGATTCGGAAAGCCAAGCACCATCCGGCCTCGCGGCACGAGGTCGGGCCCGGTTCCGCCAGAAAGCCGAAACTCCGGTTTGGAGGTAGGGAAAGGGTTAAGCGGGCGACGAGACGGCGCTTTCCGGCGATCGGCACGTTCCGGGGAACCGGGTGTTCCCGGAGCGGGCGAGACGGCGCGGAAAGGCCGCCAGGCGGGGGCGGAGGCGGGTGCCGAAAGGGTCGCGCGCGCGCCAGGCCTCGATAATGAAATGGATGCCCTCGGCTCGGAGCCCGGCCCCGGGGGAGGGAGCCGAGTGCGAAACCCATTCGCGAATTAACCTTACTTATTCATTAACGCTAACGACCCGGTCCGCGCCGAAGCCGACGTCGACGTCGACGCCGACGTCGCGCCGACGACCTTCCCGCCCTTGATGACGAGCACGGCCCCCTGCGGCTTCTTTCGACGTCGCCCTAACAACCGCGGGCGTCTCTCTCTGTCCTGGGAGCAGACAAGCGGAGGGAGAGAGAAGAAGAGAGCCGAGCTCGAGAAGGGGACTTTTCTCCACTCGATCGGCGGTTCCTTCCCGGTATTTATGGCGAGGGAATTGCCAAGGTCCTCTGGCGGAATTACGTGTACCCAGGGAAGGGATTTAATCCCGGCTTTTAGCAATAATTCCCGTAATTATCTAATGCCTCGCGCGCCTCGCAACGCGAAAATCCGCGGACGGATGCGCGTGTATATAAATGTAGGTAAACGATAAGCCCCGGATTCGGAGGGCAGGGATCGATCGCATAATTACGGCCATTTCGTGGATGCGTGATTTCCCTCCGCGGAGCCGGCGGGGACGACGTGTACGGGATGGGGCTGCCTTTGCGCGAAAGAAGGGGCCCATTATTAAGACGCGGAGGAAGGTTATCGCGAGTTGGTCGGTTGGTTAGCTCGTCTCAAAGTCGTTGAATCTAGTCGGCGGGGCCGCGGAGGGGCGGAGGTGGAAACGATTTGACTCGTTAAGCAAGCCCCGGAGCCATACCGCGGGATATCCTCCATCTATTTTCTTCTTCTTCCACCTCCGCCTCTGCCTCTTCTTCCTCTTCCGTTTCGCTCGCTTCCGCTTCCGGTTCCCTCGGCTCGGACGCCCACGCGGCGCGGCCACTTTTCGACGGCCGAGCGATCGGTCGGCGCCGCCGAGGAGGAGGCTCGATTCCGACGAGTCGTCGAGCGAGAAGGGATAAACCGATCGGTCCATCGCTCCCCACGTGACTACTTTTCAACGAGCGAGCGATCGAATAGCGCCGGCAAAGAGTAGGCCCTGATTTTGACTCGATGAACGAACGAGAAGTGATAAACTGATCGGTCGGCTGTTCCGACGCGACTACTTTTCGACGGACAAGCGATCAAATTGCGCCAACAAAGACGAGGCTCTGATTCGACTCGTTGTCCGAGCGATAAACTGATCGGTCGATCGTCCCGGTGTGACCACTTTTCGACCACTTTCGAGCCATCGGACGGCGCAAGCAACGAAGAGACTCCGATTTCGATTCATCGGACGAGCAAGCAGCCATACACCGATTGGTCGGTCGGGCCGACGGACCTCTATCCAGCAATGCCAGCAAAGAGGACCGATTTTTTACTTATCGGACGAACAAACAGCGACACACCGAGAGAGCCGGCAGTCCAAGTACGACCACTTTCGAGCCATTGGACGGCGCCAACAAAGAAAAGACTCCGATTTCGACCCACCCGACGAGTGAACAACAATACAGCGATTGACCGGTCGCCCAAGCATGGTCACTTTTCGACCACTTTCTAGCCATTTAACGGCACCAACAAAGAAGAGACTCCGATTTCGACTCATCCGACGAGTAAACAACAATACAGCGATCGACCGGTCGCCCAAGCATGGTCACTTTTCGACCACTTTCAAGTCATCGAACGGCACCAACGAAGAAGAGACTTCGATTTCGACCCACCCGATAAGTAAACAACAATACACCGATCGACCGGTCGCCCAAGCATGGTCACTTTTCGACCACTTTCGAGCCATCTAACGACACCAACAAGTGAACAACAATACACCGATCGTGAACCCGACAAGTGAACAACAATACACCGATCGTGAACCCGACAAGTGAACAACAATACACCGATCGACCGGTCTCCCAAGCATGATCACTTTTCGATCACTTTCGAGCCATCTAACGACACCAACAAAGAAGAGACTTCGATTTCGACCCACCCGACGAGTAAACAACAATACAGCGCTCGACCGGTCACCCAAGCATGGTCACTCTTCGACCACTTTCAAGCCATCGAACGGCACCAACAAAGAAAAGACTCCGATTTCGACCCACTCGACGAGTAAACAACAATACACCGATTGACCGGTCGCCCAAACATGATCACCTTTCGACCACTTTCAAGCCATCGAACGGCACCAACGAAGAAGGGATTCCGATTTCGACCCACCCGACGAGTAAACAACAATACACCGATCGACCGGTCGTCCAAGCACGACCACTTTTTGACCATTTTCCAGTAATCAGACGGTGCCAAGAAAGAAAAGGCTCCGATTTCTCCTCATTGGACGAGTAAGCAGCAATACACGGATCGGCCGGTCGTTCAGGCATGGCGACCTTTCGACGGTCGAGCGATGGGACGACGCCGGCAAAGAGGCGACTCGGATTCCGCCTCGTCGGATGAGCGAGCAGCGATAAACCATCCGATCGCTCGTTTCGTCTCGGCATTATGCCTCCCGGACCGCAGTCGAGCTCGCTCGGCAATGACGCTGCCGAAGACAAGGTCGCGCGCGTCCTCGGCTGCAATTTCTCGGTTTATTCGGGCCGACTCGCGTCGGATGAGCGAGCGATAATAAACCGAGCGGCGCTGCCGCGTCTCGCTGTCGGGAATAGAAATCCAGAGCCGAGGCGGAATCCATCCCCGACGAGCTCTAACCAGCCCTGCGAGTCGTGGAACGTCGAATCGGCGCGCCGACGAGCGGCCGGTGCATCGATTATTTTTTCACCGCGACGAAAACGGAAATGGAAGCGAACCGATCGATCGATCTCTCCGTGTCCCGGCGGCGCCGTTCCGCGCCGGGACGCCGCGCGCCGCGCCGCGAGGCAAATGCCCGGGAGACCCGTAAACGCGTCCCGCTCCTTTTATACTAAATTTCGGAGACGTCGGTGGTTTTACGCGAGCTCGTAAAACTCCGGGAATCTTATGGACCGCGATGTCGTCCCACCCTGTCTCGTGTATGCACATACGTACGTGGATTCGACTCCGCGCCTCTGGTGCAACCTTCGATCCGCGTCCCCGGCGCTGGTGCACCGGGGCAAAGAGGACGATTCTCCCCTCGAAAAACGATACTTTTCGGCCACCTCGAATTACGCCGCCCCAAAAATCCCGGAAAATTGCCGCGAGATGTCCCTTCGGTTTCCTGGTTATCCAGGGCGTTTACTACGTATTTTTGACGAGAGCGCTCACTTCTCGCACTCTCATCTCACGTGGGTTTATTCGCCGAATTACGTATCCGGTATATGAAAGAACGAGATCACTAGCGCTTCCGGTCTAGTAATATTGCAAATATAGGTACATATACCTTGTGAATTGAAAATTATTGAGAAAAGAGGGTTATAGGCAAGGAAGACGGGAAAATGGAAAGCCGTTAAAAGTAAAGAATAGGACTCGAGTCTATCTATATTTATTAAATATGTATTACATTCATATTTACATATACTATAATCACAAGTTCAACGATATAATTTTCTTATCGTGTCCTGTAAGCATGAATTATTTAACAATTTTTCACGTTTAATGATGTAATATAACCTCGCAATTATTTTTCTATCTTTTCTTGTATGCTTCACCATTTCGGTTAAAAATTTGTGCCGAGAAAGTTCATATGAATGGTCTCGCATATTCACCATCAAAAACGTTCCGTAATATTGTGAGATACTCATTTTCCACATTTTCTCTCAATTGGCTTTACGCAGTAGACCCGCAGAAACTAGGTAGAGTTTCAAGCCAAGTACAGGCCGAGATGTGCCTTCATTTCACCGATTATCAAAAAATTCGGTAGCGAGATTAATATACGAATCTCGGGACGGCGTTTCGGGGTGAGACGTCGTTGCATCCAGCTTGGAACGACCCGTCATTGTTAACGCGTTGAGCGATTAGTATCCACCCGATATTCTAAATAAGAAGCCATGCGCGTCCTCTGCAGGTGCACGGGATAATACCGTCGTTGCATTTCGGGGGAACGGATTATAAGGGGTCTCATCCGAGGCCGCTCGTTTCTCATTGCCACGGGACTCGATGAAAGTCGTGCCGAGGCTCGACGTCCTCCTCCTCTTTCTCCTCCCTCCTTCCTCTTCCTCTTCCTCTTCCTCCTCGTCGTTCTCCGCCTCGCCTCCTCCGTAGATCTCGCGTTATTCCATTCCGGGGGCGTAAGCGGCATTCGCCGTTTTACGTTTCAGAAATATCGGTGATACGTGGCTCGCCTCCTTACGTCGTCTCCAGCCGGAGAGCTGCCGTCCGCTCTCTCGAATTCACGCGGATGGATACGTAGCTGATGTAGTACGACGGATACGTAGCTGGTGCATCGATGCTCGTGTATCGGCGTCTCCCGGCGTCTCCTAGTTAGACGTCGCTCCCGGGTCGGCCTGGAACCCATATTTCTATCGTTAATACACTTTTCCCACCCACTTCAATTTTCCTCTCGCCTACCCTAATACTTCTCTCGCCTGCGGATTTTTTCACCACTCCGCCGGGGCTCCTTTTCCCTCGACGAAGGGATCGGCTGGTTCTCGCGATCGATCGAGCGATATACGTGAACGAAACCCTGAAGTCGACTTACGTCGGCCGCGCTGGTTTCCTCGCGTGGCGCTCCGGCACCCTGCAAGTAAGCGAGATCATTTCTCGGATTAATTGTTAATCCAGGAATTGCCTTTTTTCCCCTGATAAAGAGAGAACCAGCCGCACTCGTGATCGATCGCGCCCAAGAGCCGCGTCGCGACGTCGGGCACGACGGCCTCTCGATTTCCTTCTCGTTTGAATTTTCTTCACCGGCACTCCGGGGGTGAGATTATTTCTCGGATTAATCCTTAAATTAAGGACTCCTCTCTTTTTCCGATTAAAAGAGGATCCAGTCGCACTCCTGATCGACCCAGCTCGAGAGCGGCGTCGCGGAGTTTCCTCTTGTTTGAATTTCCATTCCTAGATATACTCCAGGGGAAAACGAGATCGTTTCCAAGATCAATCCAGGAACCTGGAAGTTCTCCCTTTTCCCATTAAAAAAAGTTGCTGTCGCCGATCGGTCGACCCGGGAACATCGCCGTGTCCTCTTCCCTCGTCGAGTTTTCCTTCCCTCGGCACCCTGGGAAGGAATGGGATCGTTTCTAAGGTAAATCGTTAAGCCAAGAGAGAGGTTCGAAGTTGCGAAGGGGGATCTAGTCGTACTTGTGATCGATCGAGTCTCGGGTACGTCGTAGAGCGTCGGCCTCGGTTGGTTGCCTACTGCGAGCTCGGAACCAAGGGCGTCCCTTCCTGGCGCGGCTCGACCACTACGAACGGTCCTGTTTGCAGTAGACTAAGGCGACGCGACGGTATCAAATCAAAAACAAATACCTACGTAACGAGATGCAAACAGCTCGCCCGCTCGCCAAGGTAGGGCGAGGGGGTCAGGCACAACCGACGAGGAGTCTCGTCCGTGCCGCCTGAGCCTTTCTTCTTCTCCAGCCATTCTTGTACCTCGGCGAACTCGTCACCCCCGGAGTCTCCTGGAAACCAAATTAATCCGGATCTGGAGGATAAATTTCACTTAACCCAAATTCTACGACCCTACGATTAACCTGCCGTAACTGCTCGCTCATGAGCTCGCCAAAATCCATACGGCGATCCTCGCTAACCTCGCAACAGGTGTCGAACTGACAAAAGAAAAAAAGTAATCATTTTCGGCGATGGAGTTTCGCTCCATTTCCGAATATCCCGCAGGAAATGAGTTTCAGGTCGGAGTTATATCGACCCTTCTCGTTGGCTCGTGTAATTACCTCTGAGTTACTTCGTAAACTGTGCACGTGGACGAGGATTGTTCTGGAAACGTTCGTCGGGTGAGCGGAAGGCTTAGGGCGTGTCGTGGACGTTTGGAAGCGTCCGCGATTGACATTTTGACGATATCTTGAAGAGAGGGATGACGAACCGCGAAGTCGGCTTTATCGACTGTCGGTCACGAGTCGGTCGTTCTTGCGAGTGATGTTTTTGAGATGATACCGCTGCCGGTGGATGGTAATGACTATCGGAAATGCATTTTAGTACCCGGAGCGCCGCAAGAGCGCAGCACGACACATCTTGTGAATTTTGGATACAGGAAGATGCAAGCAGAGACATTTTTGATGCAAGAAACTGACAGGAAACTGAAGTTAAGCCGGTGTCTCATTGAAGGCGTTGCGCGTTCATGCGAGTCTGGCTGTAAGACAAGATGGGCTCTGTTTTTCGTCTTGCAGTAAGTTTAGGAAGAAATTTGGTCTTGTCAAATTCGAGGAGAGACATATCTCTGTCTAGTGTGTCACGTATAAAAGAAAGTAAGTACGATTTAGTGTCATACATGTTAATAAATTCAACTCATGCCCCATCGTCATGAGAGGTTATGATGATCGATTCTAATGTTTTATTTTCTTCTTTCGCGACAGTACATGTAGAAAAAGAAGATAACACAACGATCATAGAAGCCGTTGTTAAACCACAACCTAAGGAGCATTTGCTAGTGAAGACTGACAAAAAGTCATGTATATTGTGTGCACTGGATCTCGACGTGAAACATACGGTAACATAGCCTATGCTACACTTGACGAGCGACAATTCCTATATTCAATCATTGTCCAACTTTATTTGATATGTTTCAGGATGTCCTCATTCTCAGTCAATTTCTCACATCAAGGGGCTGCATGCTACCGAAACGAATAACGGGGCTATGTTCTGTACAACAAAAAAGAGTTACAACGTTGGTTGCAATGGCTCAGAAAGCTGGTCGGTATTTACAATATGTTTGAACTGATAAATAGATGGAAAATGATGTGTTTTTTAGTGCAATGACTTCGTTACATTAATCTTTTAGGTTTGATGCCAAATATTGCACCGAAGTCTAGTAAGAAGGATCCAACAACAAGATACAAGTGGAAGAAATATAATACTTACTATGATGAAACAACTATTAGGGCGCGATATTATTAACTAATGTTATTAATAAATGACTTGTGAAACTCTTTCCAATAGATTAATTAAAATGCAAGTTTTTTTTATTCATTTGTTCATTCTTACTGATATTTTTCCTAAGGAATATTGTACATACACGGTAACAGAGATGAGTTGGGAGATTGCTCACGGCAAGGATTGTGCGATCGCATCCTGTACCAGACAGCAGAGATGAGTTGGGAGATTGCTCACGGAAGGGAT